TGTGAGGATGGCACAGGATAGATCAGGGTTCAGATATTTTTTTTTCTTAAAGTTTACAGACACTTTGGATTTTCATTCATTGTTGCACTTTTCTCCCTGCCCACACCTCTCCCCAATTCGCTCTTCTCTTTGAAAAGTAAAAAAAAATTCTTAATTCCTCCCAAGTCCACTCCACTATGCAGCCTTCATTCTGGACTTGTGTCATGACAATACCTAATAATAAATCCTTTTAAACATCTCTGTCCCTCATATGGTTTAATGCAGTTGGCATTATTTATCTCCTCTTTCTTAGTCTCCCCTCAACCCAGATGACAGTCCCATTTTACAACAGTGGCACTATGCAATCTTTGTCCTTTTGTGATATTTCATTCAGCATAATGTCTTCCAGGGTCACCCATTTTGTATATTTCATGAGTTCCTTATTTTTCAAAGCAGCTTAATATTCCATTGTGTGAATATATCAGAGCTTCTCTATCCATTCATTTGTTGATGGGCACTTAGGTTGTTTACAATGCTTTGTTATTGTGAACAAAGCCGTGATAAACATAGGTTTGCATGTATCTGCTTGGGTGGCAGTTACGGTTTCAGTTACGGTTTCTTTAGGGTATATTTCCAGTAGTGGAATTGCTGGGTCAAATGGTATTTCTATTTGCAACAACCTTCCATAGTGGTTACACCATTTTACACTCCCACCAACTGTGAGTAAAGGTTCCAGTTTCTATGCAACCTCATCATTAGATGTTTTCTTCTGTTGAATTTTACAATTCTTACTGGCATGAGATGATATCACATAGTTTTGATTTGCATCTCTTAGAGCTAGTTATTTTGAACATTTCTTCATGTGTTTGTTGGCTATCTGAATGTCTTTGAAGTGTCTGCTCATATCCTGTGCCCACTTATCATTTGAGTTGTTTACTTTTATCTTGTGATAGGTTGTTTTTTTGGTTTTTTTAAATTTTTTTTTCCTTAATGATTACTTTTCCTATTTATGCCTGTTATGGATCCTACTTGGTAATGAATTCTTTTTTAAGTATACTGTTGGATTCTATTGGCCAGGATTTTTGTTGATGATTTTCCCATCTATATTCAGGAGAGAATTGCTTTTCTTGGTAATGTCTCTGCCTGGTTTTGGTATTGGAGTTATGCTTGCTTCATAATTTGAGTAGAATTAGTGATAGTTTGTCTCTGAATGTTTGGTAGAATTCACCTGTGAAGCCATCTGACCGAGGGATTTTTTTTTTTTTACCCCTTGGAAGTCTTTTTATGACCTTGATAGCTTCTGTGATGGATCTGTTCAAGTATTCTGCATCTGTCATTCTGGGAAGGGTATGGGATACTAGGAATTTATCCATTTCCTCTAGATTTTCCAATTAACAGGATACTACAAAATGCTATATTCTGTTAACAATTTAATTTCAGCTGGTTCTATAGTAATGCTATCTTTTTCATTTCTCATTTGAATTACTTATTTCTTATGTTTGACAGGGGTTTGTCTGTTTTATTGACTCTTTTGAAGACCCTGGTCTTGTTAATTGTTTCATTTGATTTCTGTTTTCTTACTCCATTTCTTTTGGCCATAATCCTTATAATATCCTTTCTTCTAGAGGCTGTGAGATTAGCTTACTCTTTTTCTATTTTATGGGGATGCTAAATCGTTAATTTTGCTTCTTTTATGTTTGTCTATTGCTATGACCTGCCCCTGAGGACTGCCTGAGCTGTATTCTAAGAGATTTTCTTGTCCTTTCATGTACTGTCAAGTTGGCTAGTGCTCAAGCAGGGCATTATTTGGCTTCCCAACAGGTGAGGTTTTTTAATCTTGTTTTTTTGTCTCTGGGATATTCATTGGGTCTGAAACCTGATATACTTTTTTAGGAGAGGACTTGAATTTAGTTTTTATTGTTTGAAGCTGCCTGCTGTTTTTTTTGACATGTGAACGTCTTCGTGGCTTGTGAGTCAGTTTGTTGTGTCTGTGTAGGTTGCTGATACTTTATGATGCTTTTGATAAATTGCAGACTTAAAATATTGCCTCCCAATATGAGTTTGCAAGTGACAGTCTTTACTGCTCGTCGTCTATGGATCTATCTCTTCCCTATTTCCTGTGGTTAGTTTTTTATCCAGTTGTGCTTTAAGGGGCAGGAAGCTGGAGTTTTTCCCTGTGCCTGTAGAGGTGGAAGGAGAGGGCTCCCTCCAGGGGTAAGCACATTCCCACAAGAGCTGCCCAGGAATAAATTGCTCTGGGAGAAGACCCAGGAAAGTGACACAGTTCAACAGTGCAGTCCCCAAGGCTCAGTAGTTACTAACTGGCCTTGAACTCCTCCTCTCTCCATGGGCTGGTTGTGTGGGCAGCTGTTCTTGCCCTAGAAACAAAGGCTCAGGCAAGTGCCAGTTTCTCAACAATATTGTTCTTACATCTGGCTGCCTGCTAATGCCCCTAGTGATGCTGGGGCTTGTTGGGACTTGGCTATTTCCACAGCAGACAGACACAAGGAAGGCCAGTTTCTCAGCAATGCAGGTCTCAATTTTGAAAACCTTGTTACCCCTTCTGTTGGTTAGGAGAGAGCTGTTTCTACCTGAGCCTACAAATGCCCAGGGAATTGGCAAGACCCAAATCATGCAGTACATAAGTCTCTGCTGGTGATAATGGCTGACCTGCTCTTTTTTCCTCCTTTTCCGTGGCTAGTCAGAGAGTCACTCCCACCTTTCTTCTTTCCAGAGGCTAGTTGGTCTGAACTATACCACCATCTAGAAAAGACAGCATGGCTCTAGGAGAGCGTGGAAGCACATGGGTCAGTTGTCAGCATCATTGTCACAATTGGAAACACATGAGTCAAGGTCAGGAGCAAAGGCGTGTTTTAAATTACTTTCTATGCATCTAATTTCCAAATCACCCATAATTAGTAATGCATCTTGATGGTATGTTTGGTTCATTTCAGACAGCAAGAGTTGGTAAAAATCCTTAGTCTCCTTCTACTTTGGCTTTACTTGTTGGTGTCTATTTAGATAATAGTCATATTACTAAGTCTTTGATGTGTGCCTATGGATTCTATCCTGTCACAGCATTGTGCTTTAGGATAGATCTTGACATTGTCTTTTTCAGTATGCATGCAGCATCATTCTTCAGGTTTTCATTCCCAGTATGAAAGATCATAAGATGATCTGGCCCAAAATGGCCCATGCCAGTCCATCTCAGTTCATTGATACCTGGAATGTTGATCTCCATACATTCCAGGTCCCCATTATTAGAGGGTGCATGCAGCTGTTTTTCCTCCTTTTGAGTGACTTCTAGTCAGGGCTCTAACTCTAATACTATATTGCCCTCTTGTATATAGAGTTTTCAGAGGCCTCTTATTTCAGCTACTGATGATGATATTGAACAGCATTATGCACATGGAAGCAAAATATTACCAAAGATCATCCAAAAATGCCTAAAACAGTACATCGAGATAGAATTGCCAGAGGTTGAGCCTGAAATATCATTGCTGATGCCAGGTGGATTCTGGCTCAAAGTAAGAGTATCAGAACAATGTCTGCATTTTATTAACTATGCAAAGGAATTTGACTGTGAATCATAAATTATAACTGACATTGAGAAGAATGGAGATCCCAGAACACTTCCATTGATTACTTCTTCATCTAGGTCTAGGGTTTTTATCTAAACAAAGCAAGTTTTAAAGCAAGGTAGCACTGCATGGTTTTAAATTAGGAAAGGTGTGGGTCACGGTTTGATCCTTTATCCATACCTACTTAATATTTATGCCAAACAAATCACTCTAAAAACTGTACTGTCTAAAGAAGGAAAGGAAGAAGACTCAGTCTGCATTATGCAGATGACACAACCTTACTTGCTGAAAGTGAGAACTTGAAATGTTGCAGAAAATCAGAAATAACAGCTTTCTATACGGATTGTATCTCACCACTGCACTAAGCAACAACTTGATAGACGGAGAATAGATTGAAGTTATCAGTGGTTTCATCTTAACTTGGATCCACAATCAAAACCGTTGTGCCAGCAGTCAAGATATTTGGAGACCAACAACATACATAAATGTTATTAGGTCACATCAAGTCAAGTGTGTAAATGTATGTAAGGGGTGTGAGTATGTATGTATATACATGGGGTGGTCTGATTCAGGCACACCTAAGTACTCGAACTGATATTACTCCTGAGTTACTTGGAGAAGTCCCTAAAGTCTCAGTGCAATATGTCTTTGGTACAGTAGGTCTCGTAATCACCTGACTGCTGGTACCAAGAGTACTGATACTGGATCCAAGGAAGATGAAGGTGTTGGTAATCTAAATCCTTTCTCCATCCATTATGATGTTGCCTTTTGGTATTGGTATAGTGGCAAGGATTTTTTTTTTTACATTGAAATACATTCCATATTGACTGCGATAGTGTTAAACCTTCTGAAGCAAGTGCTTCAAATCCTCCTTTTAGTAAGCAAGATTACCATTCACCTAATGAAGGTTATTGATGAGTCTTCCTCCAATCCTGAAGCAATTTAGCTGGGTAAAAAAATAAAGTTGAGAAAGGAGTTAATCAAGAAAGGAGTTCACAGACTTGAAGAAAAGCTTCTTAAAATTCACACTTTTAGATGAGGTCTGACCCTGTCTAGATTATCAACACCCAGGGAAATAGTTACTGTTAACTATACTTGACCACCTACATTCAGAATAGCGAAGCTTTTGACAGTGATTGTAGATGGTATCTAATGGTTATAATGAGGCTTTCTCCTCACATACTTTGGACATGATTGTAGGAGGTACTATTCCATGAAGACATACTGGGAAGGGTGAAGGAGAGGAAGACCCTCAATCAGGTGGATTGACAGTTACTGCGACAGTGGTCTCTTGTGTGTCAGGAAGTGAGGCTGGCACAGGGATGGAACAGGGTTCAGATGTTTTGTTCCTAGGTTGGCTATAAGTTGTACTAGACTAACCAGCATCTAACAGTAGTTATGATTATTTCCTTTTTAAAACCAAACTTCTTTGTCCTTTAGGTATTTACAGGCACTTCTGAAGGATGAAAGCAAGAGCTCTGAAGAAGTATTTTCTATCTATTTTAATGTGAGTAACCATAAAATCCAAATAACATCAGCTTTAATGTGATTTACCAAAGCATATGCCTTATACTTTTTTTTTTTAAAAAAAAGTATTGGTTAAAAAATTCTTTCCTTGATTTTTCATGAGCTGAATGTACCAGTTAAATTCTACTGTGTAACAAATATTCCTAGAATTTAGTAAGTTAATATTGGAATCCTGGTTCTGTGGATTTCTAGACTGGGCCTACATGGACTCACTGGATAGGTCCCAATGGCATTCCATATGGTCAGCTAATAGCCTGGTTTGTTTAGGGGTACCAGCTATGTTCCACATAGTCACTTAACCTCCAGTAAACTATCTGAAGCCTCTTCACCTTGGTCTTAGGTACAGCCATTACTGTGGGAGTGCAGGGGATTCCAGTGGCGCCACGTTCTGTGGTGGCCACAAGGCCACTAAGGTAGCATGACAAGGGTCAGTGTCATCATTACCTAACAACTCATGATCCTCACTCTTCATCACCTAAGGAGATAACTTGTCACACACATCCTCTAGTCAATACCAGCCGATGGGAAAGGAATGGCATTTCAAAGAGCTGCAGAATGGATGATAGGTCCTGGAGTGAGAAATGATGTTCATTTGCATCTTGGGGGAGACACCATGAGTGACACCCCTCAATGCTGACATTAGTCTTGGGATTATAAAGAGTAGTAAAAACACAAGCCCCAGCAAATAAGTTTTTCAACCTTTTGTTGGTGTCAGATGCCACTGATCAGAGGAGTTCATGTGGCCACATCCAAGGGGTAAAAACCAGAGTCCGCAGCTTGACGGGAAATGTGGCAGTCACATAGTAACAGAATGTGCATTCCAGGAAAGTAGGAATCTGTGACTATGGTTGTAGTCTGCCATATTTGGTTTCTAATACATAAAATGAATATTGAGATACAGCAATTTACTAATTTCTTCAGTGTGAAGAAATTTCATTTATTTCAATAACACGGTTATATTGTCGTGCATTTCTTTCTAGTTCGGTAACAGAAATGTGCACTGTTCCAGGTTTTTCTGTTAATGATAGATTGCTTAATACTACGTTTGTTAACGGAGTACATTTGTGCTTGTAGATTCATTGGAACAATACAGATGTTGAAGTAATTCAAAATGGAAATCACATTATGGTCAACCAGACTAACAAGTAAGTAGAAAGAAAATATTTTTTCACTGGGTTGTAAAAATTCTCTTTAAGACTTACATTTTTTCCATATTCATTAATGATAAAGTAATGTTGGGGGGTGTGGTGCATATGCTGTGTATGTCTCCTAGAGATTATATTCTGGTAAGTGAGAGGAAAAAGAATTGATGTCAAAGATTTAATATTTCTTTGATCCACAGTCCTTGCCCATGGAAACAATGGTCAAGAAATCCAGTGACATACTACATTGGTCAGTTCTGCAAAAAACCTCTAAAGTGTTCAAAAGCAGTGATAACATTTGTTGTTGCTATCTGTATTGCCTGACTTGCCTGAGACTTCATAGCATTCCAGTGTACAACAGCTCTGAAGCCTGCCCTGTCCTGAGCCAGTATCACTGAGTCTGATACACCTACCCCTGTTGCCCCAGTTACTGTATCCATCTTATCCATGGTTTTCTCCTGCGTTATCCCTCTGCCCTTCCAAGCATGATGTCCTTCTTCAAGGACTGACTGGTCCCTCCTGGCCACAGACCCAAAGTATGAGACAGAGCTCCAAAATCCTTGCCTCCAAGGAGAAACTCATTTTCACCCTCTCAAGACAGACCTATCTTTTAATTTTCTGACAGCTGGTGCAAAGTGTTGATTATGGAGGTAAGCAAGCTGAAATTGTTAAGTCTCAATTTCTTCATCTATCATGGTGCTACCCAGTAGTGAGAATCTTTGTCGTCTTAATATTGAGCTTCAGTTCAAATTGAACAGTCCTGACTTTCTGCAGCAAGTGCTTCAGGTCCTCCTCAGTTTGAGCAAGCAAGGTTGTGTGGTCTTCATATCGCAGGTTGTTGTGTCTTCCACCAATCCTGATACCACATTCCTCCTCATGAAGCCCAGCCTCCAAGATCTGTTCTGCATATGGATTGAGAAGTTATGGAGACAGGACACATCCCTGACACTCCTTTCCTGATATTGAACCATGCTGTGTCATACACATAATGCAGGTTGTTAATGAGCTTTCTTCTAATCCTGATGACTCACTCTTCTTCATGAAGTCTAGTTTGGCAAATAGTTTGCTCAGCATACAATACCATACTCAGGTATGGAGAGAGGACAGTTTACACATACTTTTTCCAATTTGAAACCATGCAATATTCCTTTGCTTTCTTTAGATAACAGCGTCTTTCTGTAAATACAGGTTTCACATAAGCATAATTAGGTGTTCTGAATTCCCATTCTTCTCAAGGTTAGTCATAGTTTCTGATCCAGTCAAATGCCTTCATAGAGAAAATAAAACAGATTTTCTATTCCTTGCTTTCAATGAAGATCCATATGACATCAACCAAGATATCCATGATACCACAGCCTCTTCTAAACCCAGCTTGAACTTCTGGCAGTTCTCTCTCCACATACTGTTCTGATTGTTTTTGGATGATCTTCAATATTTTGCTTGCATGTGATATTGATGATACTGTTGGATAATTTCCACATTCTGCTGGCTCATCTTTCTTGGGAATGGAAACAAATATGGATCTCTTCCATTAAATTTGTACTTAATATTCATTTGTATTGTTGTTCTTGGGTGTTGTAGATTCAAGTATGACTTAGAATAACCCAATAAGCAACAGATCTGAACTCTGTCCTATCTGTGCCATCCTCACAATCTCTTGCCCATTGCTGCAGTCACTATCAATTCATCGAGTTTAAGTTATTCTCCTTTTACCAACCTTCCACCTTTCCAAATATGATGTCCTGCTCCAAGCAATAGCCTCTCTTAACATGCCCAAAGTATATTAGATAAAGCTTGATCATTTTTACCATCAAGGAGCATTCTGCCTACACCTTCTCCAAGATATAAGTATTTCTTTTGGCAATCTATGAGGTACTCAGCACGGTTCTCCAACCCTACAGTTCTTCTGTCTTTCCTATTCATTGTCTCTCTTTCAGATACATAGCAAGTGGCTGAGAAGCCCATATTTGTACTGAAGGGTATTTTATTAATGTGATGTGCTATCCACTTGGAACAATTCATAAATGATCCTCCAGTGGGTATTCAGAGGGGAGGAGATTGCTCATATGTCTCCCATAGAGCCGCTGGTAGATTTGAACTGTTTGCCTGCATTCGGCATGAAAGTGCAATGCTATCCACTAAGCCACCCGAACTCCCTGATATTACATATAAGTGGATATGAACAAATTCTTATTCACACAGTGAGGCTTTCTAGGGAGAGCAGTACAGATAATTATGCTGGCGTGTGACAGAAGGATCATATGGCTCTGGTTTTGATTGTAGTTCAGGTATGTAGCCAGGATGACAGTGCCCAAGCAGGCCAGAACCTTCCCACTGGTCCCACAGCAAATGTGAGGGCTTTATAGACATTGCAAGATTGCTTTTAAGTAGTTTATCAACTTCTAATTCAACAATTCGAGTGTCCGGTGCTGATGGGGCCTAAATATTATTAAAGACTTGGAATATGTTAGCAAAAAAATGTTCTTTTAGATAATACTTTCAGTTCAAGGTGATTTTGAAGGGTAAAAAAATTTCTTCAATTTTACGTTTCTCATAGCTGTGTAGTAGTGCCCCATTGAATGCTGTTGTTGTTATGTGCTGTCGAATTGCTTGCAACTCATAGCGACCCTATGTACAATAGCCCTAAACTCTTCTCTGTCCTGTGCCAGTCGTACTGTCTCCGACACGCCCATCCCGATTACCCCAGTCACTGAATCAATCCACCTCATAGAGGGCCTTCCCCTCCTGCACTGTCCCTCCACCCTCCCAAGCATGATGTCCCTCTCCAAGAACCTGTCCCTCCTTACTACGTGTCCAAAGTGTGTTAAGACAGAGCTTCAGAATCCTTGCCTCCAAGGAACCGCCCGGTTTAACCCTTTCCAGAATGAATCTGTTTTCCTAGCAGTTCATTATACCCTCAATACTCATCTCCAGCACCACAGCTCAAAGGTATCAGTTTTCCTTCTATCCTCCTTAGTCACTGTCCAACTCTCTGATGCATAACAAGTGATTGCAAAGACCATGGCATGTATCAGATGCACCTTAGTCTCCAGAGAGACACCATTGCTCTTCAGTACTTTGGAGTGGTCCCTAACAGCAGAATTCCCATTGCAATACATCTTAATTTCCTGGCTACTGGTGCCGAGAGTGTTGACTGTGGAGCCAAGCAAACTAAAGCTATGAACAATCTCAATCTCTTCACCATCCATCCTGATGCTGCCATTGGGCCCAGTGGTGAGAATCTTTGTCTTCTTGACATTGAGCCACAACCCATATTGGAGGCTGATACCCATTGAATGAGATACCTTAATTTGTTTAACAATTTCCTTGGTGCTAGATAGTTTATTTCAATTTCCTACAGAATTTTTACTTTTTCCTAAACTTGAAAGTAATACTATTTCCTTACATTTTTTTTTTCCCTTTTAGTCATGAAATGCATGCTCTACAAAAAAAAGTTTTTGGCTTGCAGTGTAGAACACTACAGACAAGGTCACCAGAGCTCTTAAAAATACCTCTATTTTTATTTTATTGTAATCTAATTGTGAATCTTGAAGTCTCTTCCACCCTTTTTCTTTTTTTAAATTTTATTTTAATGAACATTTAGAGATTTTGGATTTCCATTCATTCGTTGTTGCACTATTTTCTCTATCCCCCCCCCCAGTTCGTTCCTCTTCCCCCCCCCCCAGTTAGTTCCTCTTTTTTTTTCCTTGAAAGTCTGTTTTAATTGCCCCATTGCCACAGTGCTTGTCAAAACCAGTTCTGATTAATCTTCTTTGTCAGTGTGTCCTTTGCCATTCCCTATCACTCCTCCCTGAGGGAGATTTCACGCTGATTCATAAGGAAAATGGAACGGCATATTCTCTTAGCTACTTCCTGCTGCAAAGTGATGCTGTAGGTTTCAGGGTGAAGATCTTCTCTCACTACTCTAAAGGGCCCCTTTGGCAATAGGAAACACAGACTGTTGAGATTGATTTTGGAATTTAGATGCTACCCTTTTTCAATTCAATAAACATTTTTCCCTCAAAATGAGAAACATTTACTTTTTTCCCTGTGGCAAATTCTTAGTATATTACAAATACTTGATTATCCATTTTAGATAAGCAATATCTAAAGTAACTTACGATGTATGTATATACAATTTATAAGTATGTATGTTCGCTATGTTTGTGTTTGTGTATGTGTATATGTATGTATACATATAATTTACAGATAAACGTTATGTTGGAACACACCCATAGCTGACCCTTCAAGTTTGTACTTATTTACATCATAATTGTATTTAAATTAGATCATACATTGTATCCTAATGTTTGGTATTGCCAGTCTTTTTCTTAATAGTCATTTTGGAATGTAGTAGATACTATGGACTGTTCCATCAAAGTAAACGTGCCCAGGCCATGATTCCCAAAATTATGTCATTATTGTAAATCCTGACCTCCCTGGCATAGTGAATAAGGAGTTGTGCTGCCAACCCAAAGGCATTGTTTGAATACTCTGACAACTCTGCAGGAGGAAGATGGACAGTCTTCTCTGGGGTGATTTACTGTCTGCCTTTGAAAACCCACTGTAAGGTCAGCTATCAGTTGGTTTCAATTTGCCGTCACGTGACAGCAGCGACAATGATGTTACTAAAGCAGCATTAGAGACAGTTGTGAAATGATGTCATTATCTCCACCATGTGGCCTAATGTGATCAGCCAATGTTTTTTAAGGGATTAGGATGGGATTCAACACACTTACTCAGGTCACAGCCCTGATGAGGTACAAGGGAGGTTTTCTGGAGATACGGCCTTCATCCTTAAAAGTGGTGAAAAGGGAGAGCAAAGAGCAGAGAGGGGGATTTCAGTACCATCAAGAAAGAAAAGCAAGGAACAGAGTGTATCCTCTGGTCCCAGGTACCTGGGGAATGCCTAGAAACATGGAAAGCTAAAAAATCTTTCCTAGAGCTGATACCCTCTGACTTCAACCTCCTAAACTGTAAGAATAAATTTGTCTGTCGAAGCAACTTAGTTTTAGTATTTATTACAGCAGCATTGAGTAACTAATGCAGCAGTATTTCACTGCTTTAAGTGATATGCTTTTAAAGGTACATCAAGCCTCTGACTGCTTATTTTCTTGTTGATCATTTAGAATTTTTACTATGGTATACCTTGGTGTAGTTTTATTTTTCTTTAACTTGTTTGTTCATAGTTTTAAAATCCATGGCCTGATTTTTAATCAGATTTTTAAAAATCCTATTAAGTTTCGAATCTCAATATATACCAACTTTCCAATTCTTTCTCTTTCCAATTATGTCTTGAAGAGGGTGTAGACAAAATACTCTTGGGAGGCAAGAATGATGAGGCTTTGTCTCGCATACTTTGTGTATGTTGCTAGGAGAGGCTGTTCTTTGGAGAAAGACATGATGCTGGAAAGGGTGGAGGGTTAGAGAAGGAGAGGAAGACTCTCTGCCAGGTGGATTGACAGTGACTGCTGCAATGGGTTCTAGTGTGTCAGGAAGTGTGAAGATGCCATAGAGTAGGACAGGGTTCAGATCTGTGGTTCATCATATTGTTACGGATCATACTCGACTAGATGGAAGCTAATAACAAATCTGATGTGATGTTTATTAACACCAGTATTGTGGCCAACTGTCAATTTGTCTCTTCTGTATTCCCCCCTTATTTCTATAGTATATCTCTAATAAAATGGAATGTGAATTTTGTAAAATAAAATTATAAAGGAACTGAATAACTCACTCCAAAGTGAACTCACTTTATATTCTGGTAGGAAATTAATAAATACTACCTGAACCCAGTTATGGACTAAACTGACTTACAAAAACCTTGAAGTTTGCTTTAAGGCTTAGGACACCTTTGATTAGTTTTCGCTTTTCCACGAGCTCTCCAGGGACCCCAACTATAAACTCAGTATTTCCTAGGACCCCTTTTCTTTGACAATGTATAAACTCCAGGTTGGTTGGGGTTTTTGTTTAGTATCATAATTCATAATATAATTGTTTTTTCAATTGCTTCTTGCTTAGTTTCTGTCTATTCCTTGCGTAGTTGAAGAATTTAGCACATGCCTCACAGGGAAAACTCCTAAATGCCTGCCTAATTCCTCTGTCTCTCTTCTCCCAGAACCCTTGGCTTCTTATATCCTTGTTGCTTTGATAGCCGCAAACTTGATCTTTTTATACCTAGTCCTATAAAACTGAAACTTCCATTGACTTCAGGCACCTTAAAAATTTTTTGTATGTTTCCCTGAATCAGGAATTGGCAAGTGTCAGTGGAGTAAATCAAGCAGAATGCTGGGCTCACCTCAGTGAGCTTGTCTGTTGCAGTCTTGGGCTCCTATTTGGAAGCTTGTGCTACTTATGTTAGTGTTTTTACCTGGCTCTTAGTCTTTTTTCAAGTGGAACATTTCTCTGCTTGATATTATTCCATAACAAGAAATGAACACTGACAAATTCAGGCAATTCAGAATGGGATGAAATTTTAAATTTCTTATTTCCCAGAGGTAATAACTTTTAATGTCAGGTTTTATTTTCTTCTAACCCAAGCCTTAATTGACTCTTGGTTTTTTAACTATCATTTTCATTTCAGCATCTGTTTTCTGTTTGCTAAACTATATCGTGTTCAGAATCCTCCAGTGATGGTAGTTATGGATAGTAGTTAATTTTTGAAATATAAGAACTCAAAACTTTTAGTGGTATAACTTTTATCTCATTTTATTCAAAGTATTGCATATATTAAAACGATTTTTTGTCTCATTAAAGGAAAATGTATGTTTCAAAGTGTATTGACTACATTTTTAACACCTCTGTAAAAGATGTTTATGAAGAATTTCAGAAAGGATTTTTTAAAGTGTGTGACAAAGATGTTATTGGAATTTTCAAACCTGAAGAACTAATGTATGCAGTAACTAGAAATACAGACTATAACTGGATAACATTTGAAAAGGTATATCATAAAGGCTGGTTGGGTCAATTTGTTTTTCTATTCCCTAAATTTTTTTTTTCATTTTCCCTGTAGAATGCCATTTATGAACAAGAATACAGCAGATTACATCCCACTATAGTAATGTTTTGGGATGCTTTACACACATTGACTGTGGAAGAAAAGAAAAAATTCTTTGGTATGTATAATGGGTTATAAAAATAGGAATCAGTTGCCATATATTTTCAATAGTTAGGGCCAGACACCTCTTAGGCCAGAGTGTCTCCCACAGTAAACAGATGTTAAGGATGTTGTTATTTAAGAACTGAGTGATAGCTGACTCAGAGTGACCCATCTCTGCAGTATTGGAGTCCAGTGTTACCACTGCTGCATCAGTCCATCTCATTAAGGGTCTTTCTCCTTTTCACTCACCCTCCACTTTACCATGCATGTCCTTCTCAAGGGATTGGCACCTCATGATAAATATCCCAAGTATGTGAGATGAAAATATGACTGTAAAACCAAAGAGTGTTTTGCCAGCACTTCAATTCACAGGTATCAGTTTTTCTTTGGTCTTACTGTCCAGTTTTAACATGCCTATAAGATAATAGGCTGCATTTCTCAAGCTGAGAACTGAAACAAATGTAAGCCTCAAGTTGCAATATTGAAGAATACTATGGACAATATATTGAATGATCTGGGAAATACTGAAAGAAGATGAAGGGAATACAGACTCACTGTTCCAAAAAGAATTCAATGACATTGAAAAATTTCATGAAGTGCCATATGAACACCCAGTGGTAATGGAGGAAGAAGTTGAAGCTACACTAAAGGCATTGGCAAAATGCCCAGGAGTCGATGTGACACCGATAGACATGTTTCAACTAACAGATACAGCCCTGGATGAACTCACCAGTCCATGGAGGAAATTTAGAGGACAGCTGTCTGGCCAACTGACTTGAAGAGATACATGTATTTGTTCCCATTCCCAAGAAGTGATCCAACAGTACGTGGAAACGAAAATATCATTAGCAAGCAAAATACTGCTGAATATTATTTAAACATGGCTAGATACTGGTCAGAAACTGTGTTGCAATCCCAAAGGCATCCATCCACAAGCTGCTCTGCAGGAGAGAAATGGACAGTCTCCTCATGTGCAATTTGTCTCTGAAAGCCTGCTGGAGGGTCAGCTATGGGTCAGGTTCAACTCCATGGCACACAATACAACAATTGTTCTGTTTGTATGTGTGCTTCCTGGAGCTCCCCAATTAAAACAAGCTTGGCAGGAGGAGTAGCATCCACTTCCATAATAGCTTGCCTCTGGAAACCCTATGAACCTGGAGAGGATGAAAGACACCCAAGTGTCAAGGACTCTCCTTCATAGGGTCGCTATGAGTCGCCTGCGACTCGACGGCACTTAACAATAATCAAGTATTCTGGGATTCCCATTCTTTTTTTTTTATTTTTTATTTTGGGATTCCCATTCTTAATGTTAGCCACAAATTGTTGTGATCCACAAAGTTGAAAAGGCATTGTTAAACAATTTAAATATAGCTCTGTAAAACTAAAAAAAAAATTTAAAATGGCCAGAACAGGTATATAGTGAACTTCCAGAAGTTCAAACAGGATTTAGAAGAGGCCGTGGAACCAGAGATGTCATTGCTGATCTCAGCTGGATTCTGGGTGAAAGTAAGGATTATCAGAAGAATGTATCTGTCTATTGACTATGCAAAGGCACTTACCGTCTTATGATCCACACAGTTACGGCTAACATTGAGAAGAATGGGAATCCCAGAGCATTTAACTGTGCTCGTGCAAAACCTATACATAGACCAAGAAGCTATTGCGAAAACAAAGCAAAAAAACACTGCATGGTATAAAATTAACAAAGTGTGTGTCTGGGTTGTATCTTCTCTCCATACGTAGTCAGTCTGTATGCTGAGCAAATTATTCAAGAAGCTGGACTCTGAATAAGAATATGACATCAGCACTGGGAGAAGACTCATCAGTAATCAGCATTAGGCACTTATGATGATACAACTTTGCTGAAAGTGAGGACTTGAAGCACTTGTTGGAGAAGGTCAAACAATACAATTTTCAATATGGATTGCATCTCGGTATCAAGAAAACAAAAATTGTCACCACTGGACCAATAGACATTATGATAAAGGATTGAAACTGTCAGCAACTTCATTTTACTTGGATCCACAATCAACACCGTGGGTACCAGCAGTCAAGAAATGAGACTTAAGGCCAGATGAGTTGTGGGATGAAAATTATCCAAGAAACTGGACGGTAATGTGGCATCAGGATTGGAGGGAGACTAATCAATAAACTGCATTATGCAGATGACACAAACTTGCTGAAAGTGAGGCCTTGAAGCACTTGTTGCAGAAGATCAAGGAATGTAGCCTTCAGTATGGATTGCATCTCAATATAAAAAAAATTACCAGTGGACCAATAGGCTGTGTTATTATGGATAGAGGGGAGATTGAAAGAGTTAACAGCTTCATCTTATATCCACTATTAACACCCTTGGTACAAGCAGTCAGGAAATAGACACATTGCACTAGGAAAATCTGTAGTTACGTACCTTTCCAAATTATTGAGTGGTGATGTCTGTTTGAGGATGAAGGTGCATCTGATTCAGGCCATAGCCTTTCTGATAGTTAGCTATGCATGTGAGACCCGGACAGTGAATAAGGATGACAGAAGAATTGACACTTTTGAGCTGAAGAGCACTAAACATCCCATGGACAGCCAAAAGAATGAACAGATAGGTCTTGGAGAGGTTGTAGCCAGAGTGCTCTCCAGAGGCAAGAATGAGGATTCACATCACATACTTTGTACATGTTGCTAGGAGGCACTATTCCTTGGAAAGGGACATGTTGAAGGGTGGAGGGTCGGTGAAGGACAGGAAGACCTTCAGCTAGATGGATTGATAGGGTGACTGTTGCCATTGGCTCTGGTGTGTTGGCAAGTGTGAGGATGGCCCAGGATAGGAATGGGTTAGATCATTTGTTCATAGGGTCACTGAGTTGTACTCGACTCGACAGCACCTAACAACAGCCTTACTCTGGGAAAGTCTATTGTCAGGAACTTCCCCAGTTATTGAGGAACAACGGCGTCAGTTTGAGGACTAAGATGTGAAGAATTGATCCCATGGATTGCCAAAAGAACAAATATTTCTTGGAGAAAGTGCAGCCAGAATGCTACTTGAAGGCAAAGATAACACTTCATCTCACATATTTACGGCATATTGCTAGACGAGTCTATTCTTTGAAGAGGGACATCAGGCATGGAAAAGTGGAGGGTTGGCAAAAGAAAGGAAGACAGTCACTCATACAGATTGACACAGTGACTGCTGCAATGGGATTGAGTATGTCAGGAAGTGTGGGGACGGCACAGGACAAGACAGGGTTCAGATCTTTTCATAGAATTTCGATGGGTCATACTCTACTTGATAGCACCTAATGACAACATAAAGTAATTAAAAATTCTGTGGTTTAGTCAGTTATTTTAACATCTGCCATTCCAATTTGAAAGCCTTATGTCTAGCAAGTGATTTTCCCTGTGCTTTCCTCTTTGCCTCAAGGTTTTTTTTTGGTGGCTTTTTAAAAAAAATTGTTTAAACGAAGGTTTGCAAATCAGTATTTTTCAAACAGTTATCCACATTTTGATTGATAACATGAATTGCCATTGTTGTTATGTGCTATCGAGTCGTTTCCAACTCCTAGCGACCCTATGCACAACAGCTCTAAACCCTGCTCTATCCTGCGCCAACCGCACCGCCTACTATAATAACAATGTCTGGTTAATATTTATTTACAATATTTTATTATATATTACCTTTCCTATGCAAGAATTTTTTTACCAATTCTTCACTTTTATTTATCTTTTTATTTTGAGGGTTTTTTAAATTTTGAGATTTTAATGAAAGTTTATTGAGAACTTGCGTTTCCATTCATTTGTTGGATTTTTTTCAAAAGCTATTTTCTCCACCTAGCCTTCTTTCGACTGCCTCTGCTATCATTTAGTTACCAAGGTCTTTTGGGATTAGTTAAACCATACTGTCTCTGACTCCAACTGTTCTACATTATACATCAGATTTTGATATGTTCGATGCTTATCATTGGTTTTCCTGAGACTAGTTCAGTGGTTGGGAACTCTGGTTTATTGTTAAAAAGTTGTGCTACCAACAAAGACACATGGTTTGAATCCACCAGTTATTCAGTGGGAGCAGGATGAACAGTCTCTGCCTGTGCAATTTACTGCCCATGAAAACCTACTGAAGTCAGCTGTTAGGCCAACTCGATAGTACACAGACAAGAATTTGGTGATGTTTTCATTTTATTACTGTGTCTTTATTTCCTTGAGAAACATTTTTCTTTTTCTTTTTGTGGATATCATTTGCACTGAAAAACACGTGGATTTCTCCTGAGTTACAACTTACTTTCTCAATGTTAGCTCTTCTGGAACATCTTTGTTCTTGCCTAACAAGCCATTTGTCTATATTCTCACCTTGCAGGCTTTTTATTACCTCCAGGATTTTCCTGAAGTTCTTTCCCAAACTATTTTGAATCTATACCAACTTCTTTGTTACCTCTAAATGTTTTCTTCAACCTCACTAATTCTCATTGTCATCAAGTTAGAACCAACTCATCAACAGCCTTCCAGCAAGTTTCCTAGACTGTCACACAGAAGATGGCCTGTCTTTCTCCTCTGGATCCCTTGGTGGATTTGAATCCCCAGAGAGACGTGGCCTCTAGGTTAATAGCACAACTCCCTACAGAGTATGCCACCCAGGTTAAGTCTGAACTCTTAAATTTCCAGTTACCACAGCCTGGCTCGTTTTCCTGCTGATTATCACAGCATTGCGTCTCAGGAAGTATTTGACACCACGACCCCTTACTGCTGCCTTTTTATGCCATTTCTATTGTCTTTACACAAGATTCTGATCTTCCTAGGGAGAGGGCTGCTTAAGGGCAGAGACTCTTAAGAACTCACATTAGGATGATTTGTTAATGGGCCTTCAAGAAACACTTTTTAATAGACATATTTGTGTTGTTTCAGTATTTTTTACAGGAACTGACAGACTACCAACTAACAGTTTAAGGAACATGATAATAACATTTCGCTGCCCTGAAACTACTAATGAAAATATGCCCATAACTGTACACACCAATTTTAGTGTCCTCATTCTCCCTAAATATTCAACAATGACACGGATGAAAGAAGCACTTGAAGTAGCCATCAGCAATAAGAGAATTTAGCTGATCTTTTATCACATTTCTTGTTTTTAAAATTTTTAAATAAAGTGTACTCTAAAACTTAACCAAAAAGCCTGGTTCACTATTCCATGTCTACTTTTATGTTGAGTATCTTCAATCATACTCGTTGATGGAATATTTAGCAATTTTGCTTGTTTTATATCTTAATAATCTGCTGATACTCCATTTTGGATGCTTAGCTTAGAAAATGGGCAATTTCAGAAGTCCTGCCAGAATCATAGGAATTGGGAATGTCAGTTAACTGTCATGCCATAGTCTACGAAGACAGTGTTCCAAAGCCTATTTGGTGAGCAGGTACTAGCATCTTAAAAGTTTAACAGATGTCCAAGATGCAACTATTGGCCTCTCTGACCAGAGCAAAGGAGGGTAAAGAAAATCAAAGGTGCAGTGAAACAATTAGTCTAGAGAAGGAATGGACCATACACACATCAACCTCCACTGCAATAGGGGGGTGCCCACTGACCATCATTGACTGCTTTAGTCAGGATCACAATAGAAGAGCCTAGCAAAGTGGGAGAAAAATGGAAATTAAAATGCAACCAGACTTCCTGCTCTCAAAAGATTGTAAAACAGTGCTGAAAAGTCAGAGGACTTAAACAAAAGCCATCTCATGTTCATCGATTGGAAGATTTTCTATTGTTCAGATGACAGTATCACCCAAAACATTTTACAGATCCAGTACAATGATCAAAATGGCCATGTCCCATGCAGAGATGTGAAAGTCACTCCTCAAGTCAACATGGGATTGCAAGAGGTCCCAAATAACCAAAACAATAGTGAAATGGACAAAGTAGAACTCGCATCTGTGTTCAAAATTTAATTCAAAGTGACATTAATCAAAAGGTGGTATGAACATAGATTATTGTTGCAGATCACCAGAATACCAAAATTGAGTCAGGAAATGAACCTGTACATCTATGATCAGTTGATTTATTTTTTTCAAGGGTGCTATGACATATGAGAAATACAGGGAAACTAAAAGCAGCAATGAATTATATCTTCATGAAAGCTTCTCACTCCTCTCTGATTCAGCTTCCCACTTGCCTCTAGATGGCTGAATTAAAAAAATTGCAAGTCTTTTCAGACAGTTTGGTAGATGCCAGCTGCAAATGACTTCTACTTTGACCTGTAGGCTCCTACTTTGGGTTGAAGTTTGTTGTGGTTTTTTTCCCTCCCTCTTGGATCAGTTATGCTTGTCCTGTTCCAGGTTGTGAGATCGTAGTGTCGAGGAGCTGTGCTCTTACCCAAAGACATGTAGTTCAAATCCAACTGTTCCATAGGAGAAAGATGGGCAATCTCCTCCCATTTGATTTACTGCTTCTAAAATCATGCAGAAGCATCAGATAAGAGTTTGTTCTGACTTGATGGTACATAATGGGGGGGGGGGAACTAAGAGGGTTTATAGAAGGTTGACAGGGACAGAAGTGGTGGGAGAGGGAGCAGAGAGATAGGAAGGGTGGATGGGGAAGGTAGGGTGAGGTTTTTATAATAATAAATACTGGCATTCTATGATTTGTCAGTTTGCTGTACTGAAATAATACGTGATTTGCTATGAAACTGAAAGCTATGCCACTAGCAGGGCTCCCAGATTAAGACCGACTAGGAAGCAGGATTGGCCATCCACTTAAATAGAATTGGTGACTGGAATGTAAAAGTTGGAAACAATGAAACAATTGGAAAGTATGAACATGGTGGCAGAAATGGAACTGGAAATGGAATTTTCCGTTTTCAATCATTTATTCATTGCAAATACCTTTTTTTTTTTTTTTAAATAAAACATGGTGATCTTACACATCAGCCTCACCTGATGGGCTGCATGGAAATCAGATTGATTACAAGGAAGGATTGATTGATTGGAAGGAATCAGAAGCTCAATATCAGCAGTAAACTAGGCCAGGGTGGACTAGGTCAGATGATCAATTACTCTTGTGCAAGTTCAAATTGAGACCGAAGAAAATGTAAAGAAGTCCATGAGAATCAAAATATGATCTTGAATCCATTCTGTCTGAATTTCAAAGTCACGCCAGTGATCGAAGACCACATGAGTTGTGGGATGATATCAAGTATATCATCCATAAAGAGAGCAAAAGGTCATCACAAAAACAAAGAAAAATGAAATGGATGTCAGAGGAGACTGGAAATTGCACTAGAGCGGCGAGAAGCCAAAACAAAGGGAAACAATGCCAAGGTAAAAGAACAAGATTTTAAAGGGCAGCTCAAGAAGACAAATGGAATTATTATAATGGAATGTTCAGAGAACTGGAATTGGAGAATAAAAAGGGAGAACTCACTCTGCATTTCTCAAGCTGAGAGAACTGAAAAACTAAGCCTAGAGTCACAATATTGAAAGATTCTTTGGGCAATATATTGAATGATCTAGGAAGTGTCGAAAGAAAGGGGAACATAGTGTCATTGTACCAAAAAGAACTATCTCTTCAACAAATGGTGCTGGCAAAATTGGACTGATACCTGCAGAAAGCTGACGTAGGATGCACATCTAACAGCACACAAAAATCAACTCAAGATGGATCAGAGACTGATGGATGTAACCCAAAACAATAGACAACATGGGGTGAAACTTTGAAGTCCTAGCGTATAAGCTTAGTCCCAGTCTAATAAGCTTGCAAAAAATGTACAACAAGGAGAGGATAACATCAATGAATGGGACCTTCTAAAGAGTTTTTATATTTTGTGTTTTATTTATGTGAGAAGTTCAGGCCTTGCCTGCATATTTCTGCAGTGGGTTCAGGCACTTTTTTCACTGCTGATTCTTGGTCTTCAGGTTCTCCTCCTGCTTATTGAGGCTTCAACGTGCTTTGTTGGGCTGCAGATCCGGAGACTTGTACTTATTGCCCTTAGAGTACTTTCTGAGGTTCTCCTTAGGAGTCTGATAACAGTGAGAACATGGGCAATGGATTTTCAGACAACTCAGATTTGGAGAGCTTGGAAGCCACACCACCTGTCACTTTGGTGACACACAGCTGGGAAAGCTCCACTTACAGATCATCCAGCTATTTCAACAGCTCCTCCTTCCTGTGATGGTCCCAAGCCTTGATTTGGGCATGGCGGGACAATAGAACCCTGATCCAAAGCCAAGAGAAAGAGGGGACTTCAAAAAGCACATCAAAAGCTTCTGCATCTCAGACAAGGCCCTCATAGCGAAAAAGATAGTAAAGGGCCTTCACAAGACAAAGTCTGAGAACACAAAATGGACAAAATATATAGAAAGATCATTCACAGAGGAAGACATTCAAATGGCCAACAGACACAGGAAGATAATCACTGGCAGTAAGAGATGCATATCAAAACCATAGTGAGATACCATCTCACCCCAGTAGCAGTGGCAAAGTTTTACAGGACAGCAAGCAACAAATGTTGGAGAGATTGGAACTCTCATACAATGTTGGTCAGATTATAAAATGGGACAACAATTTGAGAAGGCAATTTGGCATTTCCTCAAAAGTTGAACATAGAGATTCCCTATGACCCAGCTGTATTACTGCTAGGAATTTACTTCAAGGTAAACAACTGAGATACAGATTTGTACACCAGTGTTTATAGCAGCCGCATTCATAATAGCAAGAACATGGAAATAGCCCAAATATCCATCAGCATGTCTGGATTGACAAACTGTTGTACATTCATATGATGGAATGAAAAATATAACATGAGAGGCCAGAGTATTATGCTGATTGAATTAGCTCAGGTGCATAAGAACAAATACTATATAAGACTGTTACTGTAAAAACAAAATTATAACTAGTGAGATGTGTATGGATATACAAAGGAAGGAGGGGGAACAGGGGGACCGAGAGTGAGCAGAGAGGGAAGTGAAGTTAAATAGTGGAAGGAGGGAGCAGGAAAAAGGACACTTAAAAAAAAAATAAGTACCATATAAGCAGGAGCCAATGATAATGAGGGAGGAAGTGGAAGCTGAACTGAAGGCACTGGCAAAAAATAAGGCCCTGGGAATTCTTTCAATTAATAGGTGCAGTCCTGGATGCACTCAACAGTCTATGCCAGGAAATTTGGAGGATGGTTGCCTGGCCAACGGATTGGAAGTGGTCTATATTCCTATTCCCAATAAAGTGATCCAACGGAATGCAGAAACTATTGGACAATATTGTTAATATCACATGCAGGCAGAATACTGTTGAAGATAATTTAAAAACAGAACAGTACATAGAGAACTACCAGAAGTTCAAGCAGGATTTAGAAGAGTGCAACACCAGGAATATCACTGTTGATGTCAGATGGATCCTGCCTAAAATAAAGAATACCAGGAAAATGTCTATTTATGCTTTATGGACTATGCAAAGGCATTTGTGTGGATAATAAGTTATGGCTAACTTACTCATTCTTCTCCCATGAGAAGAATGGGACTCCCAGAGTACTTAATTGTGCTTATGCAAAACCTATACCTAAACCAAAATGCTGTTGTGTGAATAGAGCAAAGGAACACTACATGGTTTAAATGAAGAGCCTGTTGTCAGGGTTGTATTCTTTTTTCATAACTATTCAGTCTGTATGCTGAGCAAATTATCTGAGAATCTGGACTCTTCATGAAGAAGAAGGTGGCATCAAGATCAGAGGAAGACTTATCAGTAACCTACATTATGCAAATAACAAACTTGCTTGCTGAAAGTAAGGAGGATTTGAAGCACTTATTGCAGAATATCAAAGAATACAGCATATAGATTGCAACTGAACATCAATAAAACAAAAATTCTTACCACTGGACATTGTGATAGATGGATAAAAGATTGAAATGGTCAACTTCATCTTGCTTGGATGCACAATCAAAACCCTTGATACCAGCAGTCAAGAAATCAGAAAACATGTTTCACTGGCAAAACAAGCAGTCAAGTACCTTTCCAAATTATTGAGGAGGAATGACATCAGTTTGAGAACTAGGGTACACCTGTTTCAGGCCATGGTCTTTCCCATCACTTGCTATGCAGCTGAGAGCTGGATAGTAAATA